CTCTAGCGAGAGAGAGAGAGAGAGAGAGAGAGAGAGAGAGAGAGAGAATGGCAAAATTGAAATATGGGTCAAATTGCGGCAAAATTGAAATATGGGAGAGAGAGAGAGAGAGAGAGAGAGAGACAATGGCAAAATTGAAATATGGGTCAAATTGCGGCAAAATTGAAATATGGGAGAGAGAGAGAGAGAGAGAGAGAGAGAGAGAGAGAGAGAGAGAGAGAGACAATGGCAAAATTGAAATATGGGTCAAATTGTGGCAAAATTGAAATATGGGTCAAATTGCGGCTGCGATCTATTTTGCAGTTGGAATGATTTTTTTAAATTTTATTTAGCGTTTTTCCTGGAAAGATCACAACAAAATCTACGAGTACTCCAATTTTCAGGTTTTTTGGAGTACTTTTTTAGTTGGCCCAGGCATGGCTGAGTGGCAAAAATGGAAAATGTGTTGAATCGGCGCGGCGATTATTTCGCAGTGTTAGGCTGCGGTATAGTGTGCTTCCGCGTCTGTGTCAAGGTGTCGCATTTTTGGCGGCGGGCGACCAGGACGCAAAGTGGGTTCTTAGGGGGCAAAAAAAATTGGGGGACTGGTCCTTGGCAAAACTGCGGACTACCTACAGCAAGCTCTGCTAGAACCGGGACTTTTGAAAAAAGGAAGAACCGGTCCTCGGGTGGAAGTGGACCCCAAAAAGAAGTGGGGGGCGTTGGACCAGACCCCGGGTAGAAGCGGACCCCAAAAAGAAGTGAGGGCATGTGAAATGCAAAAGGGCCTTCAGGCCCAGACATTGAGCCCCGTCTTCTCAAAATAGGGAGATCAGGCACAACGAAATAGGCGTTTTGCAAGAGGCAACTTTGACGATTTTTTGTGCTCGAACGAACATGCACAAAAATCTGAAATTTTGAGAATCCATAGACGAGGTCGTGTTCTTTCCAGAAATAATAATAGAACATTTTAAAAAAATCATTTACACTGCGAAGTAATCATCGCACCGATTCGGCACATTTTCCATTTTTGCCACTCAGCCATGCCTGGGCCAATAAATGAAAAAAAATCATTCCAACTGCAAAATAGATCGCGGCCGCAATTTGACCCATATTTAATTTTGCCATTCAGTCTTTCTCTCTCTCTCTCGCGCGCGCGTGCTCGCGCGTATCAACAAACGAAAAAACTCTCTCTCTCTCTCTCTCTCTTATCAACAAACGGAACAAAACTCTCTCTCTCTCTCTCTCTCTCTCTCTCTCTCTCTCTCTTATCAACAAACGGAACAAAACTCTCTCTCTCTCTCTCTCTTGTGTTAGCTCTTAGTCTCATTGATTTGGCTACCTGAGGGCTGCGTTCCCCGCGCCCACCTGTAGACAATAAATGATTTTTTGTAAATGTTTTATTATTATTTCTGGAAAGAACACGACCTCATCTATGGATTCTCAAAATTTTAGATTTTTGTGGATGTTCATCCGAGCACAAAAAATCGTCAAAGTTGCCTCTTGCAAAACGCCCATTTCGTTGTGGCTGACCTCCCTGTTTTGAGAAGACGGGGCTCAATGTCTGGGCCTGAGGGCCCTTTTGCAGTTCACATGCCCGCACTTTTTTTTTTGGGAAACGCCGCTTCCCGGGGACAGGTCCGACGCCCCCCACTTCTTTTTGGGGTCCACTTCCAGCTGAGGACCGGTCCTTCCTTTTTCCCAAAGTCCCGGTTCTAGAAGAGCTAGTTGTAGGTAGTCCGCAATTTTGCCAAGGACCGGTCCCCAAAAAACATTTGTCCCCTAAGAACCCACAATGTGTCCTGGTCGCCCGCCACTGAAAATGCGACACCTTGACACAGACGCGGTAAGAACCCACTTTGCATCCTGGTCGTCCGCCACCGAAAATGCGACACCTTGACACAGACGCGGAAGCACACTATACCGCAGCCTTAGGGCTGCGAACAGTAAAATGCAAAAATTTGGACCGTGCAGTACTTCTGAGATCCGCTGGTAAAAACTGTCTGCCTGCAGGTCACCTCCATTTTTATCTGAGGAGAGGAAAGTCAGGACCAACTCCCACTTGAAGCCGTTTAGTCCTCTTGTCAAGACCCTCTGTTTTGTGCGACACGTTTCCTGATCGCTGATTCACATTGATCGTAGGGCGCATGGTCGGTTATGGTTTCTTCTAACGGAATGAATTAATGTGGGTATGTTTAGCGGTTTCCCGGTGGCGGTTATAGCCGGAATGAACTTTCACTTGGAGGGAACGGTCCTCGTCGGTAGCTTGACCCTAGTCGGGCTAGACTTGGGGACCATCCATCGTTTTTTATTTCCACAGAAAGAATGGACAAAACGTAAGCTACTAAGAGTTTGGACTGGACTGCGACCTTACCACGTTGGTAGATGTTGCAGGTTAATGATTGTGGTCATCTGTTGGTGCAGATCTCTGCGACTCATGTAGCCGCAGGTCTCGTCACCCACGGGGTTGGGCTGCAGAGCATGAAGTAGGCGCGGGGACAGTGTGGGCTTCACGCTCCTCTGCTGGGTGGTTCCGCGAAGAGAGAATGGGCCTCGTCAAAGACTGCTCTCCAAATGTGCAAAATGAGAATGAATATTCCACTAGAACATGGAACTACACACCACCATGTTTTTTGTCTGTCGTGCATCTTGAGAATCGTAGAGCGAGGCCCAATGAATCTTCGACATTGATTGTGCCTGTTTTCCGCATAGTGGCCATCAGTGGAGCGAGGTGCATGTTGTCCCTGTGCGACAGTTCAGAGCGGAGGTGGCACTTGCATCTTCGTCCAATGAGATTGTGGTTCCTGTTGGGGAGTCTCTCTTTCCTCCCCGTGTGTGTGTGTGTGTGTGTGTGTGAACGGCCATGTCCACCCACGAAGTATGATGTTCAAACCAGTGTCAGGCAAAGAGCAATTCACGGGCGACAGCGGACTGAGATCTGGAAAGCAACGTGCACGACGGTGATTATCATGTCGTCCAGTCAAAATCATTGGCGGTCCATCGCCGATGCAAATTTGAAACCTCGAGTTCGTTGTGTGACATGTCTTCACGGACATGGACCGACTTTGTGCCTCGTCATCATGTATTTGTCTCTCTTTCTCTCCTCTTTCATTATTCCACAGAGAACGTTCATGTTTGCGTGATTTATAGTCGACATCAATGGTGGTTGATCTGGGTCAATTGGTGGGGAGGTAACGGTTTCTTCCATGGCATGAACACAGTCCGTCATGAAGCTGGCAGGTTGCGACATTCACAATTGATTTCGCACTCTAAGAGGTGACCCCGATTTCATATTTGAGATAACGACTGAGAATGGACGGAAGTTGTCCGGGAGTTAACTCAAATGACGACGTCCATAGAGGAAGTCTCTTGAACGCCTATTGAACTAGGACGTTATCATTCTAATTATGGAAGTAGCCTCCCTCTACGTGCGCGCAACGACGTTATCATTTGACTACTCATTAGTTGATACTCACACCAGGTTTTTCCTTTCAGTATATTTGGTCCGTCGCGGTGTATCTTTCAATGTTCTAGCAGAAGATTCATTCTCAAGCAACACGATTGCAAGTGGTAAAGAGCAGCGTGACCCAGGCGGGGCTCTCGGTGATTGTTGTCTTTGACTCAGGGATGGTCGCGGTGGTGAAACTCCTCCCCGTGTCCATCCTCGTGGTCGCTACAGGCTTCGCTGCTTGCTCTCAGGCTCCCGGAGCGATTTACCTAGTTATGCTCCGACAAAAGATTCATTTCAGATTGCGGGGTAGTGAAGTTGTTGCACGCACATGCGAGTGTGTGCGCACTTATGGATAGAGGGCACAAGATCTATGGAATGCTGGAAAGTAGAGAGGGAAGAGGTTGGAATGCAAAGGAGCGCGAAGGCCC